TGAAGAGAGGCACGGCATTTGCTGAAGTGAGCGCGGCGGTGGCAGCGGCAGCGGCAGCCGCGACGGGTGCTGCGTGAGGGGACGCGATGTGAAGCTGCCTCCACACGGCCCGCCAGGGCAGACGGCGGTGACGCCCGGGACGTGACGAAAAGGTGAGAGCGCGGTGGTGGCTTCCCGTGACTGTTTCCTCGGGGCGAGCGAAGCAACTCAAGCCCGAGCCCGGGAGAGGCCCCGCAACAGTGCCGGGCCCGAGGCTTGCTCTCCCGCCCGGCACCCGGGGCGCTGCTGCGGCGTTATGTAACTGAAGGCGGCTTGACTGTCAGGCGGCCCTTCGGCGTGGGTTTCCGTGGATGTGTGTGAGAGAGGGTGTCACATGGGGGCCTCCGCTTCAGACACAACACACTCGCAACCGCCACCACCACCCCCGCCCCGAGTACGGAGAGGTGGAGGCCGGCGCTCCTGCAGCGTGCCTCCTCCGGCCCCGCACGGAAACGGCCTCCTGAAAGGGTGCCGGGCTGGGTTTTGCTGCTGCTGCTGTCCTTCGTTCCGGACAATCCTCGGCATCCACAACACGTTCAGGAAACCATGGCGGTCTGTGCAGCTTTCCATCACTGCAGCTGTCTGCAGCGTCATCTCATGCTCGCCTGTAAACTATACAGACTCTGAGTGTTGGTGGACAGTTCGGTTATATTGCTTCCAGCGCTAAAGGAAGTGGGGCTCCTTGGTTGGGTTTTAAAAAAAAAAACAAACGACGGTCAGGGAAGTGTGACTGTTTTCTGAGTCTTCTTCCCCACCCCCCTCATTTTCTTCTGAAGTTACGTTAGTTCAACCTGTTGTAAAATAAAGGACACCATTGAAAAGGTCACTGTCGTGGTACCTTTGATGCAAGTAAGGCTGCCTATACCTCCCCCCCCCCATCTTGAAATTGTATTAAGTAATTGAGTGGACAAATTATTCTTTTGGGGTTTTATCGAAATTATCCTTACATTTTCAAGCACAAGTTAGTCTTTCTAACTTTATTTAAAAGCTGTTGTCCCATTTCGGTTTTGTAGCTATAGAAGGAAACCAAAGATCGCTTGTGCTAATTATGCAGCCCCAGATATATAGAACAAAAAGGTCGTCAGTGAGAGGAGGTCTAGGTACATTTCTCTATTCACTTAATCACTAGTAGCTGATAAGAGGTTGTAGCTAGACAAGGTTCCCTGTAAAATCTCTGCAAGGCACCTAATTTACCATCTTGACTCCTTTGTGGTGTCAATTTCTTATCCATTGGCCTTTTCTTTTATTCCTATAATACTGGGTTACATCTCTTACCTGGTTAGCACACAGCAAACACTGATGTGCTGGAGGTGATTACTAGGAAAGTCTCTTAATGCAAGCCTTTCTTTTATTTGAGAATAATTCAGGATTCTTAACTATTTTTGTCTGTTGTGACATGCCCATTCATGTGGCAACAAGTAGGACTTCCATGTATGGTGTTTTTGGGGATGGCTTTTCTTTCTGATTAGGCTTATTCCTGAACACAATTCTTTCTGATCAGGCTTATTCCTGAACACAATTACTTGGAAATCCCATTGAATATTTTTAGTATGCATACTTTGGATCAAAGCCTTTATAGCTCCATCATATTTACCCAGAAGCAAACCTGTTTTATTCAGGGGAGGTGAACTTGCAAGTACACCTGTATGCATAGCATTTCTTGAGCTAGGAAAAAAATTAAGCTAATGTGAAGAATACAAGTTTATGGAAAACAGAAGCAATTATAAAGGTATATTCCTGTAAAATATGAGATGTGCCGGAAAGGAGACTGATGATCATTGAATTTCCTTTACTTTGGATTAGGTCTCTTCAGTGTTTTTAAAGGGGGGAAAGTTATAGGTTTTCAGTGGGTTCTTTAGCACAGAGTTCACTTTTAGGGCTATAGACTTTACTTGAACCACATGTTTAGCTCTAACATAGCATTTGGTTGGCCTAGGCCTTACTGCTTAGCTTTGGGTGAATAGCATTTTCAGTGGCTTTCATAAATGTGCATGGAAAGACCCAAACCTTGTAGTGACTTATCTAAAAAGTATTTATTTCTTCTTATAATTTGCACTAACTGTGATTAAATATTCTATCAGCACGAAACAAAAGTTAAGAGTGTTTTTTCCTCTTTCCGGTCTCTTTCTTTGCAAGAGTAGAAGGTACACTAATTGCTGTTTCTCTTATATACCCTTTGGGGTCAGAACTTTGCAAGCTATAGACATTTGGGATTTTAATAGTGGTAGCTCATAGTTGCTAAATAACCATCTTAAGGGTGAAACACATAGCACAAATTTGTGTCCACTGTTTTTTACTATAGTTTTTTTTCTTTCTCAAGATGCTATTTGTAATCTAAGTAACAAAGGTACAAGCACATAAGCACACTCTACCTGTTTTGTGAGTTGGTTATGCATGGACATTTTTAGTTTGCTTTTTGTTCTTTCTCTTCTGGTGAGCTATTAATTGTAGAAGTGGCATTAATACTGGCGGGAGATGGGGGGAGACTTTCTCTGTCCTTGATATGGATAAGACAATATATGTGTGTTTATTTTTAAAGGGAGAATTATTTTTAAAGGGAATTGCACTGCATAGAAAATTAATTTGGCATAATAAGTTGAAGGTAATTGGTTTAGGGTGAGATCTGTGTCAGAAACTAACTGAATAGCTATCTGTAAAATGGATGTTATAAGTTACAGTGTGTCTCAGATGTGATGATAAAGGGCTGGTGTGTGTGTTTGGGCTGCTCTGTCTTTTATCCAGTTTGTTGTCTTTTGCAAGTCACCTGTTATCATCTCATTCTGCACTCTGTTTGCAATGGTAGCCAGATAAACGCCTCTGGGAAGCTAAAAGCACAACTTCAGGTAGTATTCTTCCTCTGTTGTTTCCAGCATTAGATATTCAGAAAGGGAGATGTGTGTTGGTTGTATGAGTCTTGTTATGCATGAGAGAGAAACTTCTATGTTGTCATCTGTCAGGCTTTGCTGTTATGTTACCCTGTTCTAAAAGACATAAATGTTTTCTAGAATGCCTTCTTCATTGCTCATATAATGCATGTTATGTCTGCAGTTTGTGGCTTTGCTCACTTTCTTGAGGCATCTGCTTGCCATGTAGGTTATTTTCTGATTATGGCACAATTGTACTTGGGTTGTATTAATCTCTGGGGTCTATTGTCATTTGTGGATAGTATTGTCTGATGCCATGGGATACTGCAATAGTTGTACACCTTTTGATATATAGAGTGTTTCTGTCTCTTGGCCCACAGGGCTTGGACCTGCCAGGCTCTGCTGGTTGAAGTGGCTTAGCAGGATGCTTGGACTTGTAACACCTGCACTTATGGGGAGGCATCAGCTACCACTGGATATGAACCAGGGTTAAGGCAACAAATGATGCTAAGCCATGGGTAAGCATTATGTCTACACGGTATCATACACTGTGCAAGAATAATAAAATAATTATAGTAGAAAAGGAAGATGAGTAGGCTTTTGCAGTAGGAAAGAGTGAAATGCCAGAGGAAGCCTGCATAAGCATGGTGTAACATAGTCTTTTGAGCCGTTGAGCTACAAATAAAAAAAAATCCCTTGTTTTGAACCTTGTTGTATGCCTTAGGTCAGCACCTCCTTGCCTCAGTGTCCTCAACCCAGCTGCATTAGGGGATTGATAGCTCTTAACTTGTAAGAAGTGTCCATATTTACCTTATGTCAAAATGTGCTATATAAAGTAGTACTGTTAAAAGTGTATAATAATTCAAGTATAAATATATGTGCATAATAATTTAAATATATGTGTATTTATTATTCTTTAATAATAATAGCCTGACAAACACTTTGATATGTCACTAATTTGGCTACTACATCAAAGTATAGCCAATATAGGAATAAACTACTTTATTCTTCTGGAAAATGGAAAGCCGCTCTAAATGTTGCACTAACACTGAGGGGCCAAGCAACATTGTGGTACTCTATCAGACAAGAAGTTAAAAGCTGGCATTATTTAAAGAGAATATTGCTTAGAAGCTAGCTGAACTCTTCTTGTGTTGATTCTTTGACTCCAGGAATTCAAACACAGAGACTGGAACTGTTCTTGTTAACCAATGTAATGGTTTCAGAATAAATCAGTTAACTCACCAGTAATTAAGTTGCCAGAACTAGGTGATATTTTGAAGCTCAGACATGGAGTTGCAGGAATGTTGCATTTAACTGCTGATGACAATAAATCTGCACTAGATGTACTGTTAGACTGACAGGAGTCTGTTCTAATGACATCAGGTATAGAATCTATTTAAGCCTCAAGAAACCATGACTTATCTAAATATTTTTGTTTGACGTTTTTGCAATTTGGAATTATTGACTAGAATGAGATTTGGCTTTTGTATTTAAGAGAAGAATAAGATTTTATGCCTCATGGCTCTTATGGGGAGAGAATTTCTGATTGTGAAAACAGTACTGGAGGCAGATGTGGGCCAAGTCTCTTCAAAAGACGGCATTACTGTACCTATTGGGAATGCAGAGTTCTTTGTTTGCCACAGAAAAAGTTAAAGCCAAAAAAATCCTTTTGGTCAGGGTGGGAGTCATACATATTGTCTGGGGGGAACTTCTTCATGTGTTGTGGTTTCCAGTTCTACTCATGCACTGATACAATCTGTACTGAAACTTGGGGAAAAGTCGGGGTTATTCTGACTCTTATGTGGGGTAATGTACACAGTTATACGATAACCTTGTGAGTCAGAGTTCGAAACCAATGGTGCTTGACAAGAAGACCTGAGTCAGATTGAGGTGATGAGAGAGGAGGTCCTACGACTGATAGACAACTTAAAAACTGATAAATCATCAAGCCCAAATGGCATACATCCAAGAGTTCTGAAAGAACTCAGATGTGAACTTGTGGATCTCCTGACAAAAATATGTAATCTTTCATTAAAATCTGCCTCCATTCCTGAAGACTGGAAGGTAGCTAATGTCACCCCCATCTTTAAAAAGGGTTCCAGAGGAGATCTAAGAAATTACAGGTCAGTCAGTCTGACATCAATGCCGGTAAGTTGGTAGAAACTGTTATTAAGGAGAGAATTAGTAGGCAGAGAATTAGTAGGCACATTGATGAACAAAACCTATTGAGGAAGACTCAGCATGAGTTC